GGGAAGCCGGGCCCGCGACTGGGGGGTGGGCTCGCGGCGACCTATGGCGGCTGGCTGGGCGGCCCAGGTCGCCCTGGCCGCCCTTGTGGTCCCATACGCCTGGGCGGGGAGGCTCCACGGTTCGAGGGGCTTGGGGCACCTGACCTCCGCGGCCGCCCTTGGTTACTCCCACGTGGAGGAACTGGTCCAGGTGGAGGCCTGAGGGCTCAGCGGACCCCTCTCCGGGAGTCCGGAGTCAGCTTCCAGTGCATCTGCCTCGCTGCTGGTGATGTACCCTGGTTTATAACCGGCCACACGCCGACTCTCAGCGGCCTGTGTGAGTGGTCCCCTGCGCTCCCCCCTCCCCGGGCTTTCGTGACCCTCTTTTTCAAAACCAGGCCCCCACAGCGGGGGAGTTCGCTCACGACCGCCCTTTGCATTGTGGCACATGGTCTGTGAGTAGTACCTCCGTGGCACAGCAGGGAGCACCTGGACTCCCCCGCCCCCCATCATTATCCCCTGCTCTCTGAGGCGGCGAGATTTATCGCACCGTCTTTGCCTTTGGGTAGTGAACCATCTACCAAGCCTGTGTTTCTGGGTGAAGTTTGTTGGGACTAAAGTTCAGTTCTTTGACCAAATCAGTAAGATAAAGGCATTCTGTTTAAGACGAGTAAAAGAGGTACTTGAGAAATGGCCTGAGTCAAAACATAGAAACTTTTTTTTAACCGACGGCGCTTGAGTCTAGACACACATACCCTTTGCTCCCTGGAATCAGCTGTCTGCTTTTTGAGAGCGTAATAAACTCTGACAGGAGAACCATTCATTGCAGTCAATCAGAGGTGTGGTATAGGGGAGAGGCCAGGAAGGCTTGGTTTCTAGGTCAGTCTTGAACCTATCAAGTTAGTGACCTTGAACATTAAGAGCTTTCACTTATTCTTAGATAAGAGAGAGGTAAGCAATCAATAAGTATATTTCGTGATTATATCCATCAAAGAATATTTATTGAATTCTTATGCCTGTGGCACATCCTGAAGGAAATAAAGAGAAAGTTGTAGGACATCATTAGTGCCTAGAAGAAGCACACCTGACATTTGTTGAGCATCTGTTGTACCCAAGATTCCATGCATTGTCTAATTTAATTCTCACAATAATCCCGAGAGGTTCTTCCTGTTACCGTCCCTGATTTACAAAAGAGGAAACTGAGGCTTTGAAAGACTCAGTAACCTTCCAAAAGGCACACAGCTAGCATAGCAAGCGCAAAGCTGAAACCCCAATCTGTCCAACTCCACAGTCCATGTTCCCTCTCCAGTTTACCATGCTGTCAGTGGGAAGTTTATAATCCAGGTGGAAAAAGCAACAGTAACACATAAACCAGTTAAAAGCTAACCTGTAGGATTGTATCTAATTTTGAATGCTAGAACTGCTGAGAAAGTTTTCATGAAGGAGACAGAACTAGAATTTTAGTGTCTCAATTTGATTCTTTTACCTTCTTGGCATTCCTGTTAGAGAATTCATGTGTAAATAATTGTTTAGCAACAATTACTGAAGGAGGGATGCCTGGGTGCCTCTGTCGGTTAAGCATCAAGCATCTGCCTTCGGCTCAGGTCATGATCCCGGGGTCCTGGGATCGAGTCCCGCATCCGGCTTCTTGCTCGGCGGGGAGCTTGCTTCTCCCTCTCCCTCTGCTGCTCCCCCTGCTTGTGCATGCGTGCTCTCTCTCTCTCTCCTTCTCTCTGACAAATAAATAAAATCCTTAAAAAACAAAAACAATTACCAAAGGAATTTATATAAGCAGCGCACGAAGACCATGGGCTTATGTCCTCCTTAAATGTTATGCAGATAATTTTCCCTTGGGATCTTCCAGACTGTCACAAACTGAAGTCAACAAAGACAGCACTTAACACTTTCTGTTGCCTATTGGATGACATATCTTTTACAGCAGATGTATCCTGCCAATCTCTTCTCTCCCCTTTCTGTGCCTTTGTGCAATATAAATTGAAGAGCCATACATACCACTCCTTGTTTCTCTTCACTGTGGGGCTAATTGCTAGTCTTTTTGAGACACATTTAAGAGGGTTGGAATATATTCACCAATCCATAGAGCAAAAGTTAAAAAGAAGCTTGCAAGCAAAGAGGGTGCAGTATTTTTCTTATCTTGTGAAAACACCAATGTCCCTGTAGCATGAGAGCTGCAATAATGAATGGCTTATTCTCCGTGCATATATAGGAGGGAGCCCCCTACCTTTTTGTGAAATAAACTATTCTTTATCTAAAGCCTCAAGTTTGACCCAGGGCCGGAAAATGCCCATAACCACCATATTCCCAGCTCAGGTCTCTAGCCATGTACTCATCCTCTACGGGATATGCCTATAGTCATTTAAGATGCCAACCATTTGCAGGCATTGCACTCCTTCCAGGCATGCAAGAGTATGCTTTAGATTCCTGTGGGCAGCAAGAAGAAAGATGACAGTAGCCTCTGGCCTTTCCATCCTCTTCTTGTGTCAGCAGGGGTCAAACAGACATTTCAAATATGTGGTTTTCAGAGCTTTTTGGGGAGGTGACAGCAGGAAGGTGGAGATGGCCGCTTATTGGATGTTAGATCTGTTTTTGATTTGTTTGAGACTCCCTAATGGTGTAGGAATTGTAGTGAACATTTAGTATCCATACATAAACATCGTACTTTAACTTATTTTGTCACTCAGAATATGTATAATCCTTAATTGTCATTTGCTTGCATAAAAACTAAGGAGATCCTAGGAAAGGAAGGATGAGGTGGGACCTGAGAAGGAGCCATTTCTTGTCTCTCTCTTTTCTATATACAGAGCAGGTGGGAGTGTCCCTAATACAAAGGAGTTTGGAGCAGAAGAGTCAAGCTTTTACTCTGAGAGTATGAGGAAGTGGAAGAAAATAAAGTTAATTGCCTATTATTTTCATTTTCATCTTTTAAAAATGCGTTCTACAGATACTTTGATCATTGACCACATCGCAGCATGTTGAGTCAAGTCTACTGCTCCGGGTCCCAGCCCTTCCGCCAGCGTCTCCTGCCCTGGGTCCAATCCACAGCCCTCTCCAGATCTCGTATGTACCGTAGGAAACTTAGAAGGATGTGGGAAGTTTGGAAGTGTTTCAAGCAAGGTTTTAAAGGAGAAAAAAACATAATTTGGCAGAATCGGACAAAGACAGTAAGCAAGGAAGCAGCCAGTGGTGAAATGTTCTGAGTGTTTGTATTTATCAATAAAGTGAAACTTTTGGAGGTGATAGCTTTATGGCATCAACTGTGGTGATGGTTTCACAGGTGTATACTTACAGAATCATCAAGTTGTACACATTAATTTTGTACAGCTTTTTGTAAGCCTAGTTAATTTAAAATTTAAAAATTTTTCAAGTAAGATGTTACCTATATTTGTTTTCCAAGGTTTTTTACAGGCTATTTTTGTTCATTACCTTTTTTTTTTGTAGTTAGTTTTAATTTTGAGACTATTGTAGATTCATGTGCTATAGTAGGAACTAATACAGAGAGATTCCTTATGCCCTTTACATGTTTTTCCAGTTTCTCAATCCAGATATTGACATTGATATAGTCAAGATAAGAACGTTTCTACTACTACAAGATCCCTCACTTTTCTCTTTTATGGCTGTCCCCCTCTTCCTCATCCCTAGCCCTGGCAACCACTAATCTGTTCTCCATTTCTATAATTTTGTCATTTCAAAAAATGTTATATAAATGAAGTTATACAGTATGTGATCTTTGGGGTTGGGTGTTTTTACTCAGCATAATTCCCTGGAGATTCATCCAAGTTGTTGTGTATATTGGTTGGTTCCTTTTTTTTTTTTTTTAAAGGTTTTATTTATTTATTTGAGAGAGAGAATGAGATAGACCATGAGAAGGGGGAGGGTCAGAGGGAGAAGCAGACTCCCCGCTAAGCAGGGAGCCCGATGCGGGACTCGATCCCGGGACTCCAGGATCATGACCTGAGCCGAAGGCAGTCGCTTAACCAACTGAGCCACCCAGTCGCCCTCGGTTGGTTCCTTTTTATTACTGGGTATACCACAGTTAGTGTAACTATTCACCCATTGAAGGGCATCTGGTTGTTTATTTTTTACTGGTATGAATAAGGCTGCTATGAGCATTTGTGTGTAGGATTTTGTGTGGACAAAGTTTGCATTTCTCTGGGATAAATGCCAAAGAAGTTCAGTTGCTGGATTGTATGGCAGTTGCATGTTTAGTTATATAAGAAACTACCAAACTGTTTTTGCAGAATGGCTGTACCATTTTACATTCACCCCAGCGGTGTATGAGCAGTCCACTTTCACTTCATCCTCATCAACATTTGATGTTGTCACTCTTTCATTTTAGCCATTGTGATAAGTGTGTAATGATACCTCGGTGTGGTTTTAACTTGCTTTTCCCTAATGGCTAATAATGTTGAACATCTTTTCCTGTGCTAGTTGGCCATCTTCATATCCTCTTTAGTGAAATGTCTCTTTCTCATTTTTAATTAGATTGTTTTTTTACCTTTGGATTTTTAGAGTTCTTTCTCTTCTAAATACTAGTCCTTTACAGATATGTGGTTTGAAAGTATTTTCTCCCAATTTATAGCTTATCATTTCATTCCTTTAACAGGATTTTTCACAGAGGAAAGTTTTTTTTTTTTTTTGATGACGTCCCATTTATCAATATTTTCTTTCATTGATTGTACATTTGGGGTCAAGTCTAAGAGCTTTGTGTAGCCCTACATCCTGAAGATTTCCTCCTATGTTTTTTCTAAAAGTTTTATAGCTTTACATTTTACATTTAAGTGTGTGATCCATTTTGAGTTAGTTTTTGTATAAGGTGTAGGGTTTAGGTCAAAGTTCATGGTTTTGCCTGTGGACATCTAGTTATTCAGCAGCATTTGTTGAAGGGCTATGTATCATGTTTTGAGTGGCTGTCTCCTTGATAGCAATTAAATCTTACCAGTAGTCTGTCTCCAGACCTTATTGTAAGAGAACTTGCTTATCAACTAATGAAGCTTATCATCATCATCATAATAGAAAAAAATTTCTATTTCCAAAAATTTCTATTTCCCATTCACATAAAGAATATGAGAAAAGATCAAGGTCTGGAGCCAGGGGCCCTGGGTTTTAAAATTAGCTGTGCTACCTCCTTACTAAGTAACTTTAGTGACTTAAAACAACTATAGATTTAGGTAACAATTCTATGTTGGACCCGGCTCAGCTGCACAGTGGTTCTATGTCTGTGTCAGAACTCTTTGGCTCAGGGCTGATTCTTGAGGGCTGGGCGACCTCTGCTGGGATGATGGATCACCTCTGTTCCATGTGGTCTCTCATCCTCCAGCAGACTAAACATGGCTTCTTCATAGGATGCTTTCGGGGTTCCCAAATAGAGCATGCATGGAAGCCACAAGGCCTCTTGAGGCCTAAGCTCAGAATTTATGCAGTGTTACTTCTGCTATATTTTATTAGTTAAAAGAAGTCATAGGGCTGGCCCAGATTCAAGGGGTGGGAGAACAGATTCTACCTGTTGGTGGAAGAAGTTTCAAAGTATTGTGGCCATTTTTGCAGTCTGGTAATGTTAGCAAGTTACTTAGCTACTCTGGCCTCAGTTTCCTTATTTATAAAATGAGTCTAATAATAACACCAACTAACTCATACCTAACTCATGAGACTTAAGTCATGAGAATTCAGTATGATGACAGCAATAGTGGACACTTTTTTTTTATAATATCAGCTAATACTTATTGAGTGTTTATTTTGTGCCAATTTTTGTTCATCAATTCATTTTATCCCCTACAGCAACCTTATGAGATAGGTAAGGTAACAGCAAATAAGCAGAAGGATTGAGATTCCAACCCAGATAGTCTAGCTCCAGAACCTACACCTGTCCTTTTGTATATCCTCTGCCTCTGTAAAAGATGTGTGAATACCTAACACAGCTCTTAGTATATAGTAAGTATTCAGTATTTTTATTGTTATTATTGTTTATTCTTATTAGTCTAATTCACAGAAAGAGGTACTTTCTGATCTTTTCTCTAGATTTTTCAATTTTTGTATCCAGATTTCTCTAGATTCCGGAGCCCTAGAAAGGCCAAGTGAGAAAGCATATACATATAAACACAGAAGAAAATGCAAGGCCAGGAAGGGAGATAGAAATCCTGTCAGGGTCCTCTCTTGTTCAGGCCTGGAACACAGGCTTATTGATTGCTGAGCACAAGGACTCTGATGCTGAAAAGGTAACAGACTTCTCCCTTGGAGTACGGTGCATGGCATTTTTGAGGAATATGGACAACCCTCTTCTCACCCCACCCCCAATACGGTGCACACACATACCTCTCATACTAACCAGGAGGAGATGGCTTTTCTGTGGGACTTAGAGCCTAAAGGTTCGCTAGAAGATCGGAAGAGATTGCCCCTCCAGAAGCCTTGGATTTTTCCTAACTATTGAGGCCTTCTCAGTCCTCAATATGGACTCTAAAAAGTATGAAACACTGTAAAACATTAAAAAAAAAAAAATGCCCCCAAGAAAGGTAGGATCAATCTGGGAGTAATACAGGTCCTCTGCGTTGTTGAATAGGAAGCCCAAAAAGCCCTGGATCCCATAGAACTCTCCCCGGTGCTAGAATCCACTGGATGTAACTGATCCTTTACTTGCTTGAAACCTTATTCATAGTTGTTTCCTCTTGAACCTTGTCAGCCCTGATCTGCTGATATCCATTTGCCTATAGCCAGAATGACCCTTGACTGCCTGGCGCCCAGGTGTGCTGGTATCTTTGCTGATAAAAACTGTGGATCAGGAGCCTATTTCATGCTAACCTGGCCTGCTAGATTCTGATTGGTTTCTGCCATTTGATCACCTGGACTGACATGCTTGCCACTATCTGTGTCTTACCCTGCTCCACCCATGCTTAGCACTCTCCAGGACAGGATAAGGCCTGCAGGGACAGGAAAGAAAAATGGCTATCAGGCCTAGTCCTGACAGCTATCAAAGGGATACTTGGTACTTGGGTGTAGCTCTGAGCTTTGCAAATAGCCACCAAGATCCCAGGTCCAAACCTTAGGGAAGTAAGTCTCTCCCTCTGCCACCCCTCTTTCTATCAGGTCAATGAGGCCAGAATTACTATGTATACAACTTTTAAGCTTAGACTGAGGTGTATATATTGCTTATAATAATATCACTGAAGACTGATGAACTTATTGAAGAAAGGGAACTCTCCACAGAACTTAGCCCCAACAACAAACCAGCCTGGTAGTCCCTGGGACTCCCCCAGCAGGAAGAGACAACCCATCTGTGGGTCCAGCAAGGGTGCCAGGTCCCAGTTCCATCCCAGAAGATGGACTTACTTTGTGCGAGGAACTGGACTGCAAACCTGTTGTGAAAAAAAGACCATATCATCTTTCTTGTGTCTCCACAAACCTGAAACATAATCACTTTTTATTTTTATTTTTTTTAAAGATTTTATTTATTTATTTGACAGAGAGAGACACAGCGAGAGAGGGAACACAAACAGGGGAAGCGGGAGAGGGAGAAGCAGGCTTCCTACAGAGCAGGACCCTGGGATCATGACCTGAGCCGAAGGCAGACGCTTAACGACTGAGCCACCCAGGCGCCCCCATAATCACTTTTTTTTTTTTTAAAGATTTTATTTATTTATTTGAGAGAGAGAGAATGAGAGAGAGAGAATGAGAGAGAGAGAGCACATGAGAGGGGGGAGGGTCAGAGGCAGAAGCAGGCTCTCTGCCGAGCAGGGAGCCTGATGCGGTACTCGATCCAGGGACTCCAGGATCATGACCTGAGCCGAAGGCAGTCGCTTAACCAACTGAGCCACCCAGGCGCCCCCCCCCCCCATAATCACTTTTTAAAGTGGTCATTTAAGAGAGGGAAGAAAGGACTCTTTACTGCTTCATTAAAAATATTCATTCTAAGATTTGTGTGTGAAGGAGGCAGGGAGGAGAACACACAATGATCTTCTGGTCCATGAGAATAAGATTCTGCTCACTTTACCCTCCATTGTTACAGCATAGAGAAAACAATAGAAGCTACATTAAAGTTAGAGGAGTTAGTGGTCCGGAGTTAGAGGTAGTGGCTCTAGAGAAATCTGGGAAATCTGTCCGTAAATATAAAGGGAGGTGATAATGGTTGATCCGAGTGGAGGAAGTTACTCTGCAATAGTACCAGTGTAGAGTAGTGGCTTGGAATGATTACTGTAGTAATTCATTCAAGTATTTATTAATTGCCTGTAATGACACATAGAGAACTCTTTGAGGAGGAAGTACCTAAAGTTTAGTCCCGCTGAGGACCTGTACTACTCATCTTGACTTGCTTCTTGCAATCAGGGAATCCCTCCAAGAGAAGGTCCATTTGTTGTGAGTGAGACCGTCCATTAGCAAGGCCTCACCTGCCCCTCTGCCTGGGCACTCTTTCTGCTGAATCAGTTACAGTTAGGTCAGGTGTGTGTAATAAACTCCAAAATAATAATGGCTCAAACAGGATAGAAGTCTATTTCTCTCTTTTTTAAGAAGATTTTTATTTTTAAGTAATCTCTACACCGAATGTGGGGCTCGAACCCACAACCCCGAGATCAGGAGTTGCATGCTCTACCCATGGAGCCAGTCAAGCACCCCTCTCTCTCTTTTAAAAGGAACCTGGGGTTCTCTAAGAAGGGAGGCAGCCCAGGGCTTTCAGAATAGCTCTATGAAATCATTAGACATCCTCACTCCTTTCTTGTTACTCCAAAGTTCTTGATGTTTTCCTTGTAGTCTAAAAATATATTTGAGCTGCTGCCTCATACCCATGTTCTAAGCAGCAGGATGGATGAAGGGAAGAAGGAAGCACTTCTCTTTTGAATGAAATTCCTAGAAGTCCCACATAACATTTTCACATGTATATCACTAACCAGAACTTAAGTCCCATGGCCATGTCTAGCTGCACAAAAAGTCTGGGAAATGTAGTCTTTTGACTGGTGGCGGTGTGCCCTGCTCAAAGTAGAAAAGTCTCTTCATTTGTGAGAGAAAGGGCTAATGCATAATTAGTAAGCAGCCAGCAGGAGGAGTTGGACCTTTGAGAAGTGGCTGACATTCAGCTTCTACTGTTTTACTATTGGCTTTATGTAGATAAATCTTTAGCTTTTTAAACAAGACTGTGTATACCTATATATGAGTGTGTGTGTATGTGTGGGTATATATACATAGATAATATTTGCTTCCTTAGAAATCCTGTATAGCATTGCAAGAAAAAAGAATCAGGAAAGGATTGCTTAGAGGCAGATATCCAGAAGGATTGAAAATATCTGACTCCAACATTCCTTGTCCTTCAGAAAGCTATCCCATTTTTTTTAACCATTGTTAACAGACATCTGGAATCATGCTACCATGGCAGAGAGAAAATTTGTAGGTGGATTAGTCATGATTTTTTACTACTCATACCAATTACTTCGCTGTTCATTGTCTTTGCTAGTCAGGCTCACTCTCTTTTTATAGTGGTGTGGTTTCTTTAAAAGCACACATTTTTTTTGATGATAAAAGCAGTGTATTTCTATTGCTTAAATTTGGAAGACATAGACAAGAATAAGGAAGAAAATTGAAATCACTTGTGATTCCATCAAAATAAAACATTAACATTTTGATTTATTTTCATCTTTTTTCTGTGCATTTAGACACATAGGAAACTTCATGAGCATTTTCCTGTTATTAAAAATTATGAAAAAGTTAATTAATCCTGCCTTTTTTGGATGTTTACTCTGCTTGTGATTTTTCCTGTTATAAATAACACTGATGAACAGCCTTCTGATAAATCTTTTTGTTTCCATCTCTAATTAGTTTCTTAGAATAAATTTCCGAACAAAGAATTACTGGATCAAAAGATGTGAACATTTTTAAGACTTTTGATATATTTTGCCAACTTGTCTTGAGGAAAGATTGTTGTGTTTAAACTATTCACAGTGTTTGAGTGTATCTGGGACCTGTGTACTGGGTGTAATATTAGAATAAGAACATGCTGGATATACTGGCTTTTGATTTACTGGTTTTAGTCAGTTAAGAATGATAAAACTATTTTTTGGCTAAACTGGTTAATATTGTATGTGTATCTTTTTAATGAGAAATTTATATTAAATATTTCTCTTTTTTCTTGCATTTGACTTTGTTTGGGAGCTACAGATCGTGTCCAGCCTTCAGCCATCAGACATGTTCGTTCTTGGAGCAACATCCCCTTTATCACTGTACCCCTCAATCGTACACATGGCAAGTCTTTTGCCCACCGCAGTGAGCTGAAGCATGCCAAGAGAATCGTGGTGAAACTCGGAAGTGCTGTAGTAACCCGGGGGGATGAGTGTGGCCTTGCCCTGGGGCGCCTCGCATCTATTGTTGAGCAGGTAATTGCCAAGATGGAAGATTCTGGTGAACAAAAATAATATGGAGTTTTTAAGCCAGTCAGTTCAGGTTTGTTTGGTTTTTTTCCAACCCTAATTTTATCCCTAACCCATCCTAACCATCAGTTCAGGTTTATCAGCTCGTAAAAATAATTTGAGTACAATAGATGTAACCCAATCTGAAAATTACCTTTCCAGTAAAGGTACAAGTGGACCCAGCATCCCAGGGCAAGCAAAGGGGATGTCAAGGAGTAAAGTTGATTTCATGCAGTTCATCCCTCAGGCTTCTTAGTGATAAGGTGCTGTATATGTCAGTGATTCTTAATCCTGGCTACACATTAAAATTGTCTGGAGGGGCGTAGAGATTCCTAGGCTTCACACTCAGTCTCTGGGATGGGGCTCAAGCACCTGGATTTTTAAAGTTCCCCAGGTGACTGGTATGTTGAGTTGAGCACCCAAGGTTGAGTACCCAGATGGATGTTTGTGAATATTGAGCTTTTTTTGTTCCTGTTTTGCTAGGCTTTTCCTTTTTTAATTAGGCCAGTAATATTGAAATAAATATGAGCTATCATTGCAAAGATTTTCCAAGTTCAGATATTTGAAAGGATTCAGCAGACTCCACAGAGAATACCCATAGAAGACTTCCATTTAAAGGCAGAGGATACCAGGCAGCAAGAGAGAGAGTGCAAGCAGGCATTGGGCGTCTGAAAGACATGTATGCACAAGCACTCCAATGTTTTTATTTGCACAGGGACCACAGTCTGTCTCGAGACTGAATTACTAAGAGATCTGTGCAGGGAATCTTATCTTTGGAAGGGCTCAAAGCAGAAGTTTCCAGTGGGAATTTTATGCCCCACTGGCTATGTGAGCAAGCAAGGCTGACTGTAGACTATCAGTAAAGAAACTGACCTTAAGGGGTGACATGGGAGTTTTAGACTTTAAACATCATATTACAGATCCCACTACCTATCTTTGCCAAGAGCAGGTATCAGTAAACTTTTTTTTTTATGAAAGGCCAAATAGTAAATATTTTAGGCTTTGTAGGCCAGATGGTCTCTGTCTCAGCTACTTGTCTCTACCATTGTAGCACAAAAGTAACCATAGACAATATGTAAATGAATGGGCATAGCTGTGTTCAAGTAAAACTTTATTTACAAAACCAGGTGCAGGTGAGATTTGACTCTGCTGATATTTATAAAAGACAGAGACTTCATTGACATGTAACTGCCTCAGGGAATGACCTACTTTATTTCCCATTCTCCCTGGTGAGAGCACCACTACTGCTTTCAAGCTTACTTCCTCCCTGGCCCACCAGCATGTCATATTCATTCCTTTCCTTGTCCCCCACCTGGAATTCACTCTTAGAGCCTCCTCTTCCTCAGAACCCCTTGGTTGCACAACTCCAGGGGCACCATTCACACCGTGTATTTAGCAGCAGTTGCAAATCCTCTCAGTCCTGGAAGCCCAGGCTGAGTCCCAGCTCTCTCCAAGGAGGCCTCAAGAATAACTACACTCTGATTTGACTTTCCCATCTTTGGACCCCTCAGTCACTGTCATTTGGCAAGCTGAAAAAATTGGAACAGTGTTATAACTGATTAGATCTTTTATGTTAAGGGGCACCTGGGTGGCTCAGTTGGTTAAGCAACTGCCTTCGGCTCAGGTCATGATCCTGGAGTCCCGGGATCGAGTCCCGCATCGGGCTCCCTGCTCGGCGAGGAGCCTGCTTCTCCCCTGCCTGCTATTCCCCCTGCTTGTGCTTGCTCCTCTCTCTGACAAAATAAATAAAATCTCAAAAAAAATTGCTATTTTAAGTTCTGTGATGAATAACTGCTAAAGAAAAGCTAGCTTTGGGGTGCCTGGGTGGCTCAGTTGGTTAAGCGACTGCCTTCGGCTCAGGTCATGATCCTGGAGTCCCGGGATCGAGTCCCGCATCGGGCTCCCTGCTCGGCAGGGAGTCTGCTTCTCCCTCTGACCCTCCCCCCTCTCATGCTGTCTCTCATTCTCTCTCTCAAATAAAAAAAAAAAAAAGATCTTTTATGTTAAGGAGTTATTGAAATGTTTTAGGTTTTTGGATGTATGCATATATATTCTGTCTTTTAGCAATTACTGCTGAAATATTTATAGATGAAATAATATGTCCGGGGACTGGGATTTGTATTAAAATAATGGCAGGGCTGCTGTACAGGCAGTACTAGAGACTGGGAAATTGGCATGAGAGATAGTCGTTGAAGCTGGGTGTTGGGTACATGGCGATTTATAATACTATTCTTAGCACTGTGGTTAAGTATGAAATTTTCTTTTTTTTTCCGTGGTACATTTGTTTCTATTTTTTAAAGTAAGTTATTTATTCATTCATTCATTCATTCATTCGTTTTAAATAATCTCTATACCCAGCGTAGGGCTCGAACTCACAACCCGAGATCAGGAGTCGCATGCTCCTCTGAATGAGCCAGCTTCTGGGGCTCAAACATCAGGAGGAATGGACATATTAGGAATATGGACTCTATTTGCAGCTTGAATCTTTGATTCTTCCAATGTAGATCTGTCCAAAGTAGGGAACAAAGTGACCACAGCTGTATCTGGGCAGACAGAGCAGAACAGGGTCAGCATCTGGCCTTGCTCTAGTTAAAGTAACCCATAGGGATCAGTATAACTCAGAAAGAGCCTCAATCTTCCACATCATGCCTTAGAACCTGAGAAGCCATCTGCTAAGTTTACATTGCAGTTCTTAGCTCCAGACTTCTTTTTCTGGAACTGCTAGACCTTCTGCATTATAGACTCCCACAGATACCATCAAGTGCCGTGGATGTCAAAGCTGCCTGCACACCAGAATCCCCTTATTCAAAATTCTGATCTCTGTCTATTCTATCAGATTTGAGTAGCATGTAGGAATCTGTATTTTTACCAGACAACCTGGGTGATTCTTCCAGAGCCAGCCTAGTGCTGATCCATAAACCGGCATTTGGGATCCACTCAGTTATCTACCCTACCTGAGTCTCTTGTGAAGAGAGGAAAGAGATGATACAGTGACTCATGCCTTTCCCCTCCTCAATGTCAGGTGTCAGTGCTCCAGAATCAAGGCCGAGAGATGATGCTGGTGACCAGTGGAGCCGTAGCCTTTGGCAAGCAGCGCTTGCGCCATGAGATCCTTCTGTCTCAGAGCGTCCGGCAGGCCCTGCACTCGGGGCAGAACCAGCTGAAAGAGATGGTGAGTGCTGCTTCCCCAGCCCCTGTAACTGGTCAGCAGGTCTCTTTCCCTCACTCCCAACCACACCATATCTATTTGTGTGTTACAGGCAATTCCAGTCTTAGAAGCACGAGCCTGCGCAGCCGCCGGGCAGAGTGGACTGATGGCCTTGTATGAGGCCATGTTTACCCAGTACAGCATCTGTGCTGCCCAGGTGAGAGGCTCGCCATTGCAGAGAGGTGTGGGACCTGTGAAGGTGATTCCTGTGGAGCAGAGGTGTGATGAGCAAGGCTCTAGAGCTAGACTGCCTTAACTTCACCACTTGCTAGCTGGGAAATTTGGAGAAAGTCTTTAGGTCTAACATTTTTGTGCCTCAGTCTCCTCATCTGAAAAAAGAAGATAATATCAGTGCCTACTTGAGAGGGTTTTCGGAAGAAGTCAGTGAGAAAATATAGGAAAAGCATTTAATGTAGCGTTGTTTCCAGTAATTATTAGCACTTGGTATTGTGCTAGTAACTGTTATGGCTACTACTTTAAGTGTTTATCCTTCTCCTGAAGACAGGGAAGTTAGATATCTTTTTTTTTTAAGATATTATTTATTTATTTGACAGAGAAAGACACAGCGAGAGAGGGAACACAAGCAGGGGGAGTGGGAGAGGGAGAAGCAGGCTTCCCGCGGAGCAGGGAGCCCAATGCGGGGCTCGATCCCCAGGACCCTGGGATCATGACCTGAGCCGAAGGCAGCCGCTTAACGACTGAGCCACCCAGGCACCCCAGGAAAGTTAGATATCTTTATTTCATTGTCTTCTTTGACCTCAGGTAGCTTGCTTCTCTTTGTACCTGGTTTCCTTATATAATAAATTTCTACAAAGCATTGAAAAGAGAGGAATGCTTATCATTGGTTTTCATTCGTTCAGCAAATATTTATTGAGCACTTATGGTATACCAAGAAGTATGTTAGTCATTGGAGATGCTGTGATAAACAAATCAACCATGGTTCCAGGCCTTATGAAACTTGTACATTTTTAGTGGTTGCCCCTGAATGTTCTAGAACTTTCTTTCCACATTGTTTTTTACCTAAATTTCCAGAATTATTTTTTCAATTGTATCTTTGATTATCAATACAACTACACACTAGAAACACGTAAATATCACAAGACAACTAAGTCATTTCACAAAATAGTTGAAAAAAATTGAATTCCCCAAGTTATTGTCTTCCAACTCGTTTGCTGTTCCTGATCCTACCATTTACACAGATGTTATTTTACATATTTGATGTTGTTATGTATACATCCTTTCAGATTTTGGTCTTTCATTTCCTACTGCTTTTTCTGTTTCTTCATAATTCTCACAGTGTTATCCACAGTGACGTTGTGGTATTGTTCCAAAGTGTCCTTGAGTAGGTGTACTGCAGCAGAAAGGCATGGACTTGTCCACCTGTTGTCTGTAGCTGGGGACCCCACTCAGATTTTTTTCTTCCTATTAGCATAAATATAATAGAAATCTCAATTTCTGTCAGCCACTATTATCAGCTCTCCTCTTCTCCACAATCCAATGGCAATTTCAGCCTTTAATTTTTTTAAAAGTATCTGGAGCCAGATGAGGAAACTTAGGTCTAGTAACTATACTTTTGTTTTGTTTTTTCCTGGGTATGATGTTTTTTTGAGGGGTTTTTTTTTTTTTTTTTTGGTTGGTTGGTTTTAATGAAAGTAGCATTGAAAGTCGCTGCACATCAGCCATGGCTTCCATTAATATTGATGTGAAAGAGCTCTGTCCCCTCCAGTTTGCAACAGGCATCCATCCATGGGTCCATCTCACACATTTGCCTTCCCTAGGATCTTATCTGCAAGAAATCTTTGAT